GTCCCAGGGACATCCGCTTCTAGACTGCAAAGTCAACCACTCCCCTCCTTTTGCTACAAAATTTCTACCTTTACATTTCCAAACCTCATAGTCATTCCTGATAATAATTATTCATTATTGTACCACATGAGTGCTATCCCCAACTCCTTTCATCAGCCCCGCCCAGACAGATTGGATCCCACTCAGTAGAGATTCTACCTTTCTCCAGGCCCTCTGGATCTAGACTCCCTCTTGAAAGCTTGTAAGCCAGTCACTTCTTGCCTTTGTAGCCCCTGACCCCCATTTTGGGTAGCCCGTGTCTGCTCATGTACTCCCACTGAGTCTTAGTGAAAAAGGCTTTTTTTGACCATTCAATCTAATCACTATATTTAATAATGGACTACTGTATGCCAGGCATTGTTGAACAGTGAACAGAAGAGACTGGGTCTTTGTCCTCATGTGGCTTATATGTTAGTGAAGGAAAACTGTCCATAAATAGGTAAAGAAATAAATAACGAGGGGCTTCAAAAAGTTCGTACAAAAATGGAATTATAATTTAAAATTTATAGCTATCTTTTTAACTTTAAGATAATTCCATTTTCTACAAACTTTTTGAAGCCCCTTGTTATCTTTTTGAAGGTATCCAATATAAAGAAATAAACATGGTAAAGGAATAAGGAGTGACTGAGGAACTGTTTCAGAAACATATTGTAGCAAAACCTAGAGACTTTGAATCAAACAGTGAATACTAAAATGTACTGAAATGTACACATATACTAACTCCCATGTCCCTGGAAATGGTACACATTATCCAATTTAAAAAACAAAGAGTGCCAAGTCATTAAATGCACTTGTTGTTGTGACGTGCCGTGGAGTCGGTCCCAACTCATAGCGACCCTGTACAGGGTTTCCGAGGCTGTAAATCTTTATGGGAGAAGAAAGCCTCATCTTTCTCCCACAGAAGAGCTGGTAGTTTCAAACTGCTGACCTTAAGGTTTGCAGCCTGATTTGTAACCACTACACTAACAGAGCTCCTTATCAAACTCATTTACTGAGTATCTAATTAATTTCTACTTTAATTTGCAACATCAGCATATTCTAAAACTATATTATCTTATAACTAGTCATTCCAAGTTATAGATGGCATCTGTAGATCCAAATGCACCTCTAAAAGGGATAATAACACCAGAAGCGCTTTCAACAACATTGTAAAATATGTATAATATGGGGAGAGAAGTACTTACTGCATCTTCCACATCAATGCATAAATGTGTCCTAGGATCCGCCTTATTCTCAGCTTCTTTACTTTTTTGCATTTCATTGTAGAGACTACTCAGAGTTTTGTATGCTTCACGGCAGTTTTTGCATACTTCTGAGTAATTTTTTGGTTGCAGAAGACTGTGTGAGCTTTCCTATAAAGAAACAGGCACACATAATACACATAATAAACATTACATGTAGTATGTCTTTCACATACACTACTAGAGGACAGTCAACAACATGTATTAAAGGGTTGACCTGTGATGTTGGGCAAATTACTACATCACTCTGAGTCTCAGATTCTCAGTTTCATCACTTATAAAATACAGCTATCTCTACTTAGATTATAAGTCCCAAGGACGACAGACTTGAGGTATATTAAGCACATAACAAACTATCTGGCACTTTCTTTCTAGATGCTCTTGAATTTTGAAAACCAACACACTAGCCAATGTTAACTTCGGATTCCACTAGTTCTTACTGCACATTGTTGTTAAGTGCTGTTGAATTACTGTTACCTAAATAATCTTGTCATTTGCCTATCTGCGCTGATACAGCCTTTGCTCTCACCAAATAAATAAACCATGTTTGTCCTTCTGCTCACTTCCACACCAACCCATCCACTATCAGTGCCCTCGAGTCAGTATCAATTCATAACAAGCTTATATGTCTTAGTAGAACTGCTCCCTAGGGTTTTCAAGTCTTTAAATCTTTATTTATATAAAGATGAGGGGCGGGAAACCTCATCTTTCTCCCACAACATCAAAGTATGCCTTATTGAGGCACACAACACTTTTTTCAATGGGAAAAGCATCCAGATTACATCTCTAGCTATTCCTCTTACTCCAAGGTTCATAATTCAGGTCTTTGAGTCAATAAAAAAAGATAAATACATGAGGGTAGTAGACATAACATATTAGGCTAGTTAATCAATGGCTCTTCTTACTGCCAGAAGACAATTGTCTTTTTAAAAACAAGTCTGCTGAACAGCCAGTTCATACTTTTGGTTTCGATTTCCTTTACGTTTTACCTTACAGCCTAGAGAAGTGACATTAACATTGGAATGAAAGAGAAAAGGGAAAGTTAAAGTATAGAGTTCCGACAATATTATTCTATTTGATAGAACAACTAAGTCTCTCTGTAGTTTTGTCACTGGAAATGATCTGTTGCCTGTTTTCCACAAAACAAGTGTGCATTTAGGTAAATAAATGTGTTTGATCAAAAATGGAACACAGAATCTTTATGCGTTTTGACAGAGCAATTCTACATTTAGGGATCTATATCAGACAGATAAACTCATACAAGTACTCCAAGTCTAGGAGAGAAAAAAGCTACCCATGGCAACAGTAAAATACTGAACCAAACTAATTCTAAGTCACTGTAGGGACTGGTCAAGTAAATGGGGACGCAGCCATACAATGAGCATCCCGGTGGCACAATGGATAAGTGCTCAGCTACTAACTAGAAGGTTGGTGGTTTGAGCCCCCACCCAGTGACTCCAGGAGGGAAAGACCTGGTGACACACCTGTAAAGGTTCCAGTGGGTTTGGTTTGGTTTTGGTTGGTTTCACCAGACCCCATTCCACACTTGGTCATTACACTACAGTCAAACTGGCCTTCCTCTTATTGCTGGCACATACCAAGCTCACTCTCATCTCAAGGGACTTAGCCTTGTTTCTGCCAGCAACACTCTTCCCACAGCTGGCTCTGTCTCAAACTTTACGACCTCAAAAGTCACCTACTCAGAGAGGCCCACCCTATCTAAAGTAGTACATTACCCTCTCCCAGGACTCATTACTCTTAATCATCTTATTTAATTATTTGTTATTAGTTTCATCCTTGCAAGTTCAGGAGCCTAAGAATCGTATCTGTCTTATTCACCACTCTATCTTCACTGCCCAGAACGCTGTCTGGCACATAATCGGTGTCCAATAAATATTTGTTAGATGAATAAATGACCAAACACTGCCTGTTGAGGGAACTTTCAAAGGCCAAGCTACAAAAACCAAATACCAGCTGGAGAGACGTCTTAGATTTCTAGTCTTCTTCACAGCTTGGTAATACCATCCTGCCCACACACTGAACATAAGAAAGGAAAAGAAGCCTAAGAATGAACACCGAACAATCACTAGTCCCATGAACACAAACCAAAACAAATAAGCACGCAAAAAATGGTTCAAAGATGAACTGAAAAAGAATTAAATCAGCAAGTAGGATACAACTTTAAAGAATTCATTATAAAGAACCCAAAGTATAAAATATCCATGAATCCATATTGATATATATGCACAATTGATAAATAAATGTGGAAGGGACCCATCTCCTTACAAAAGATTTTCAGATAAGTCTAGTGGATATTCCCCATTGCAGGGAGTGGAGCTTAATTCCTCAACCCCAGCCCTTGAGCATTTATTAATTTGCTTCTAAAAACTCGTGTGTGGAAAAGAGAAGAAGTAAACAGGGTTACTGCACCGGTGTGGCAGAACCTACTAATTCTCTGCTATCCCAAATTGTCCCTTCACTTAGATAAATAACAGAGCTTCTCTGAGCTCCAGCAGGGTACAGACCACCCTGCCACCCCAATGAAACTAAGTATAAATGGCATGTGCAACTTCTACAAAATTTCCTCCAAAGAAAACTGCTTGTCTTGCTGTACAGCATTTTCCAAACTTAATACGACAGTAAACCTTTTTTTTAATGGTTTTTCAATGGCCCATCTATCAAAACCCTGTGGAACATATTTTAAGAAATGTTCATCTAATAATTTATATTCTTTTCAGGGAAATTCATAATTCTGTTTTGTCACATTCATTAAGGAAGAAATCACACATACTTATATCTTAAACATACTTAAATCTACTTGTGGGAATTACTTGTTATGTACATTTCAAAACTACAATCTTATCAGCATTCCAATTCCAACCCCTACCACCATCTGTAAACTTTATGAGTAAGAGATGAAGAAAATAAAAATTGATAAGAAAAGGATTCTTAAAGTTGCCTTTAATACCATAATTCAATACTCATAGTTAGCTTATTAAAGTGTACCTTTGTTGTTGTTGTTGTTGTTAAGTGCCATCGAGTCGGTTCCGACCATAGCGACCCTGTACAAGGTTTCCGAGGGTGTAAATCTTTATGGGAGTAGAAAGCCTCATCTTTCTCCCACGGAGTGGCTGGTAGTTTCGAACTGCTGACCTTAAGGTTCGCAGCCCGATTCGTAACCACTACGCTACCAGAGCTCCTTAACAGTAAGTAAAATGTATTTTAAAAATAATGAGGCAAATACGCTTCTTACAGACAGACAAAATTATATTGTATTGCAAAATAAAATATTTTTGTGTATGTGTAATTGAAATCAAGATCATATTTGTTGTAATTAAACAATTCTGTGCCTCGGTTAATGTTTTCACTCTCCTGATGTCATTGTATCCTCACTGTAAGATACTAGCATGTAGGGATGGGAGATACTACTCTCCCGACTTCACAAATAAAAAAACTGAAGTGTTACTGCTTGCCTGAGGACTAGTAAGTAGAGTCCTGGTGTGGGGCTGTAAAGTAAGCACTGGACTGCAAGGCAGTTTGAACCACAAGGTTAGTGGTTCAGGCTCACCAGCCACTCCTCAGAAACCCTATACAGGATTGTTATGAGTTGGAACTGACTCGACAGCACTTAACAACAACAACAACAAAGAGCAGAAACCCAAGACCTCTGTATCATGTGTATAGATACATATCAACAATTAATGCTATAATAATTGCAATTTATTAGTACTCATTTAAATAGGCAACATTTTAATTTCATGTATCATATATAAAATACCTGAAGGTTATTCTCAAAGCAGGTCAGGGTCTGATTAAAAAGACTGAGGAAATACACTGTGCTGTTTGACAATTCTTGACTGTTGTTTGTTAAACAATCTGTCAAAAACAAAACAAAAGGATATTAATATATCTCAAGCAACAATTATATATGCTGTCATTTGTCTCTCAACCTAACTTCTTCTGGGTCATACTACAGTAACAACTCTATTACAAGAATTTTCTAAATACATGAAGCCTTCCTCTTGTCTTAGGTTTGCTAGTGCTGCCAGAAGGAAATATCACAAAGTGGGTGTCTTAAAAGAACAGAAATGTGCTGTCTCAGAGTTCTGGAGGCTGGAAGTCCAAATCTGGGTATCAGTTGAAATCTTCTCAAGAGTTCCATGTCTCTGTCCTATTTCTGGTAGCTGTCCACAATCCTTGGTGTTGCTTTGGTGCTTATGGATTTATCTGCCTCCATCATGCCATGCTGTCACTTCTCCCTGGGTGTGAGTGACCCTCTCTCCATATCTGTTCTCCTGTTTTATACAGATACCACCCCTAGGACCCACGCTACTCTGGAATTATTTAACTGATAACATCTTCAAAGAAAGATCCTATATCCCCAAACCAGGTCACTTTCTTAAAGTACAGGGGTTAGGACTTCAATATACCTTTGGTGAGGGGGTGCGAAGGGAGGGTGGGGGGTGGGACACACAACTGACTCCATCACACCTTTTTAGTTTCCAAAAGTTTGGGAGTTTTTTCCTTTTTTTTTTTTAAAGTCATAATAATAAGAAAAATCTTAAAATAATCTCTTTTCATAAATGTAATATGCCAAATAAAATTACTTGGTTCTAACAAATCCAAATTGATTCTCTCATAGTTCAGGAGGCCTGATGTCTGAATTGAGGGAAAGCTTGTCGTCTCTGCTGACTCTGGGGGAAGGTTCTTGTCTGTTTGGTTCTTTGGGAGCAGATCTCCATGTAGCTTCACCTCTATCTCCCCTCACCTTTGCTGGCTTGCTTCTCTTACATTTTTGTTTTTTTAACTTATTGTGAAGTCCTGGTGTGGTGCTGTGTGTTAATGCGATACGCTGGACTGCAAAGTCAGTTTGAACCACAAGGTCAGTAGTTCAAGCTCACCGGCTGCTCCTCAGAATCCCTATACAGGGTCGCTATGGGTCGGAACTGACTCAACGGCACGTAACAACAACAACAAATGGTGAATTGGGTGAAGATTCACAGATCATAACAGTTCACCATTCAACAATTCATACACATTGGGTTTCATGTCACTGATGGAAATCTCTTCAATGTAATGTCACTTATCCCACTTCCTCCCTGTCTTTCCTGCTTCCATTCCTTCTTCTTTCCTAACCATTGTGAACTTTGTCCTTGGATAAATGCTGCCCTTTTGATCTCAAATGGCTAGTTATTTAAAGGTGTGTGTACCTCATCTGTGTTACTACTGCTCCCTTTATAAACCTATTGCTTGGCTGAAAATTGAGCAATGAGAATGAGCCATTCTCAGACCTGAAGGATAATTAAGGATCATAGTTTTAGGGGTTCCACCAGTCTCGATCAGACCAATAAGCCTCGTCTTTTTTATGATTTTGAGTTTTGCTCCACATTTTCTTCCCACTCTATCCAGGACCTTCCAATGTGACCCTTATCAAGAGCAGCTGGGAGTGGTAGCCAGGTACCATCTAGTTCTTCTGGTCTCATGGTCCTGGATAGCGATGCTCACAGTTTCCATATGTCTTCAATTTTCCTCCAGAGAGAGACCAATATGTGTACCTTAGATGGTTGCTCATGAGCTTTTAAGACCCCAATCACTACTCACCAAAGTAGGATGTAGAACACCGTCTTTGTGGACTATGTTATACCAATTGTCTTTAGTATCCACTGAAACTATGGTCCTGAGCCCCCAGGTTCATGAACTCATTCCCCCTCAAGGTGTTTGTTTATATCTATGAAATTTTCACAACTTTGCTCCTGGTGTGGCACTGTAGAAAAAGCATTGGCTGGGGACTTTGGACCCAGAGAGGGAAAGGGACTGTGGGCCGAAAACTGGGGGGAGGAGGGGGAAGTGTAGGGGGCGGGTTTCTGGGATATACTCTTTGGGTGGTTGATGATGCATGGAGGGGCTTGGAACCATGGCAGTGAGATGATATACGATGGAATGAATGTAAAACTAAAGTTCTCCCATGTAAACTATCATATAATTCACAATAAAACATTAAAAAAAGAAAGAAAGAAAAAGCATTAGATTGCTAACTGCAAGGTCACCAGTTCAAGCCCACCAGCAGCTCCCTGGAGACCCTACTGCAGGGTCTCTATGAGTTGGAACCAACTTGATGGCACTTAACAACAACATGCTCTACCACATTCATGGATATACTTGCAGTGGAGGTAAACACACACGTACAAATATCCTCTGACAAATCTATATAGCTTCATGGGTATACTCCCAATCTCCCTCCCATACCCACTCAGCCTTGTGTCTATTCCGGCATCTACTCGGTGTTGTTGTTGTTAAGTGCCATCGAGTAAGTTCCGACACACAGTGACCCTGTATAGGGTTTCCACGGAGCAGCTGGTAGATTTGAACTGATGACCTTGTGGTTTGAAGTCCAGTGCTGATCCTACAGCACCACACCACCGTTATTGCAGGATTGTATAAACAACAACATCAACCTCTGTTACATTTAGCTTTTGCACTCCTTCCAGTATCATCCTCTGCCTCCATGTTTTTGCCAACCTCCCTTCTTATTGTGTATTACCTTTCCCTTCACCCAAGTTAGCATGTGTCTACCCCAGAGAAAGTAACTTCCCCTCCCACCCCTGATAACCATCAAAGAATATTTCCTTTGTTGCGAAAACCTTTCTTTGACTTTTTACAATAGCGGTCTCATACAATATTTGCCCTTTTGTGATGTGCTAATTTCACTCTGCATAATGTCCTCCAGGTTTACCCATGTTGAGGTGGTTCATAGATTCATTATTCTTTAACAATGTGTAGTATTCCACTTTATGTACATACTATAGCTTGTTTACCTTTCATTCCACTGGGGAGCATTTCTATTGTTCCCATCTTTTTGCTTTTTGGGAACAGTCTGCAGTAAACATGGGTGTGCTTACATCTATCTATTGCTGTCAGGGATGTACACTGACTTTTGATAGTTCAGGGTTATTATAAACATCAGCTATCAAATACTGCCTAAATAGTGGTACTTGGAATGTTATATAGGCATAACATTGTTGGGAGCCCCCGTGTCAATCTTCTACTCACAATGACCCCATGTGGCAGAGGACAACTACTCCACAGGGCTTTCTAGCTGTCATCTTTACAGGTGCAGATTGCCACGTCTGTCTCCACTGGAGCTGGCAGGAGGGTTTGAACTGTTAACCTTTCAATTAGCAGTCAAGTGCCATCATGGTTTACCCTAAATTCATATGCTTTTTTGGAGGGGATTATAATCATTGTAAGGAGCTCTGGTAGCGTAGTGGTTATGAATTGGGCTGTGAACCACAAGGTCAGCAGTTCGAAACTACCAGCTGTTCCGTGGGAGAAAGATGAGGCTTTGTGCTCTTGTAAAGATTTATAGCCTCAGAAACCCTGTACAGGGTCGCTATGAGTAGGAATCGATTCCACGGCACATAACAACAACAACATAATCATTGTAATGAAACAAAGTATATGATTTGTTGAATGTAAAACTGATGATCTGCCTTGAAAACTTTTACTCAATCCACAATAAAAACCTTAAATTAAAAAAAAAAAAATTCATATGCTTTTTGATTTTTCTTCTAACATTTAGTAATTTTCTGTCCCTTCCATTTAACTGGGAAACTTCTTGCACCAAATGGTAGCCTTGTTCTTTCTAATATATCATGAGTTGAGAACCCAGGATTCATACCTAAAATATTGACAGGCTTAAAGCCAAGTCTAGAAAGAAAAGAACTGTTATGCATATTTTTAAAAATCTTATGTAAATGGCATTACTCTGCAACTTGCTACTCCTATGTTTATATTTTTTAATTCTTTTTATGTTGATGCTTGAAGTTCAAGTTCACTTCTTCTCCATGTTTTCTACATAACCATAGGAAGTGGTGGTGGTGGTAGATATGTGTGGTGGAGTCAGTTCAGACTCCCTGAAACCCGCTACCCTGCATAGGGTTTCAAGGCTATGAATCTTTACATGAGCAGAAAACCTCATCTTTCTGCCGATGTATGCATAAATCACATGTTATTCATCCCTCTCTGTTCTCCAGTGAACCTGGTTTTTATTCTCACTTTATCTTGACCTCTTCCTGTATTCTCAGCTACAATCTAGGTTCAATCATCCTGTTATATCCCAAAACTTGTAGTCAGCCATTTTAATCACATTCTCTTTACCATCTGCATACTCACATTTTCAACCCTTGAAAGCATTCACATTTTCTCTACTCCCAATTCTGGCTGTGATGTTGTTGTGTGCTGCTGAGTGGATCTGACTCACAACAACCCATTATGAAAGAGTAGAGCTGCACCATGGGGTTTCCAAGGAGGTAATCATTATTGGAACTGACTGCCAGGTTTTGTCTCTCAAGGAACAACTGGTGAGTTTGAACTAATCTCCAGCTGGGTGCTTAATCACTATACCACCAGGGCTCCTATTTCTGGTTACTCATTGTTGCTATGTGCAGTCAAGTCAGTTCCTACCCTGTGCACAATGGAACGACATACTGCCTAGTCCAATGCCATCCTCACAACTGTTTTTTTACATTTGAGCCCATTGCTGATGCCTCTGTGTCAATACATTTCATTGGGCATCTTCCTCTTTTTCACTGACCTTCCACTTTACCAAGCATGATGCTTTCTCCAGGGACTGGTCCCTCTTGACAACATGTCAAAAGTGTGAGAGATGAAGTCTCGCCATCCTGGTTTCTAAGAACAATTCTGGCTGCACTTCTTCAAAACATGTTTGTTTGTTCTTCTGGCAGTCCACTGTACTTTTAAAATTCTTCTCCAATATGATAATTATTTTCCAGTCTGATTCATTGTTCAACTTTCACATTCATATGAGGCAATTGAAAATACCAAGGCTTGGGTCAGGGTCACCTTAGTCCTCAAAC